GAATGAAGATCGTGAGTAGTAATTTCATATACATTGCAGACATGGGGTGATTGAAATACGTAATTGTAATTGGCTGTAATTAATTACAATTTCTCAAGTAATTGAATGTAATGTGTAATTGAGCATTTTTTCAATTACAAGTAATTGAAAGTAATGAATTACAAAGCCAAAATTGTCTGTAACTGACAATTACTTTTCAATTACAATTCAATTACATTTGAAATTTGGGATCAGAAAGATTGAATCTTGTGTTTTCTCAAAAAATTATGAAAAGCCATGACCTTAGCAAATGTAGTTAGCTGACAAATCAAAGCCTACACAGTATACCTTCTGTAATTACACAACCATGGAAGATTCTTTATTTTGTAATGAATGAACAAAAAATTAAAAAGAAAAAAAAAATATTGTAGAACTATGCCATAATTTGTGTTTAAAAGAAACCATTAGTAAGTCACTGTCTTATACCTTAATTAGCTTGTTACCTACATGTATATTCAGATGGGTATTGTTAGACATTGATTTAACATAATAAATTTGAAAGGTCATAAGTCAATCAATAAATATAACCTCTGGCTATTTGTTTTATCATAAACTATATAATGACTGTTTTTACAACATTTATGTTTGCATGTTAAACAGGTGTTAAGCCAATTAGAGAGAGATAAATATACCCCTAGGTACATGATTTTTTTTTTTGATTAATTAATTGTGATTAAAACTACATTATATTTTTAAAAAAGTCAGACTTTCTAAATCATATCTTTAGGAAAAATAATTTTAATAAGTTGTGATCAAAATAAAAAAATAAAATTTTATCTATAGGGCTCTCTTCTTGTATCATTTTCAATGAAATACATTAAAACATAAAATTTCAATAAGTAATTAAACAAAATTTAATATTTTCCAAATATTGAATAAGGCTTTTTATCATTTTGCACATTAAATTAAACCAGACATCTAGTCCTAACGATTCCTGATAGACAAAGTATTATGTGCACTTCACATTTATGTTTGTTTTTTCTTTATTCCCGTAACACACCAGATATTTAACATTTACTCTTCTTTGATACTGGCTGAATTTGAAAATAGTCACTGTAGATCTCATTTGTTATTACTATAAAGCAATGTATGATAGTTATGTACATACGATAGAATAAATGCATGTTCTAAATTTCCTTTCAAAAGTAATTGAAGTAATTAATTACATTTGCCAAGTAATTGGAAAGTAATTAATTACATTGTCAAAAAAAGTCAAATGTAATGTGTAATTTAATTGAAGATTTTGTAATTGTTATTGAATGTAATTAATTACTTTCAAAAGTAATTGACCCCATGTCTGATACATTGGTATATTTTTTTATTCCAAATTCAAATTGAAACGATAAAAGATTTGTGAAAAACCATCACGCCGACAAATATCCTAACACGACATCGGTCTAGAAATGAAATAAGTTTAGCTTTAATTTTGAGACAGGGGTAAGAACAATTGTTTAAGGTGTCATGAAGCCTCAAAATTTTAAATTGGATATCAAAAGGCTTTTAGTCAAACTTTCAATTGTCTGGAGATATTTTGAATAACCATACGTCAATTGTCAAAATGTATATCAACGTTTTGGATAAAATGGTATTCTTCACTTATTCCCTTATCTAGATTATTTACAAATGCATTTCTTACAATGTTTTATCTTTTTACAGGTATTTCGACATAAATCTTGGAATAAACGATTTAAGTGTGTTCACACCACCCTCGGAGTGTAATCAAGAATAAATTGAAGTGTAATCAAGAATGAATTGGAGTGTAATCAAGAATAAATTGGAGTGTAATCGAGAATAAATTATGACACAATAAACCTTATCTTAAAAAATAAATAAAATATTGGTGTTATGATAACAGTTTTTACTGGGGAAAAAAATAATATCAAATTTGGTATACTGTTTTCGAGGTTTTATTAGTGATGCGGTACTTCTCTTAATCTAGCACAATCGCGTTGATGAGATACATTTTGTACTCCTTTATCATTAACAGGTGGTACAACGATAGTTTATTATGCCAGCAAAAAAAAACCAAAAAAAAAAAAACCAAAAAAATATACATTTTTCAGCGATCGATCGCCGACAGGTGCATTGGTTATTTTGGATAAAGAATCATGCTCTGTTGTAACATTTGGTGCATCATTTGAAAAACCCTATGTGGTTTAAAGAATCGATAATTTGGTGATGGATTATAATATAATGCCTCTTGGTGTGGATGATAGGTACTCCTTCTGTTTCTTGACTTATTAGATTAATTATTCCCCTACTTTATTGAGTTTCTACATAAGCTGTCCTTGTAAGAACTCCTTAACATGAATTTCGCCAGAAAGAAAAAGATAAAAAAAGAAGATATTACGGTTGCATGGACTAGTTACGTTAAGCTGCATATTTAGGAATTATGAGCCTTTAACAGTCTGTTTAAAGTCTTATTACAAGTTATTAATTATGATAATAAATCTAAACCACTGAGATAATTCAGAGGTACAAAAAGGAACAATTATCTTATCAAATTTCATTTTTCTGAGGAAAAAAACCTGTGTGATACACAATGAATAAAGAACGTCAATAGAGTAAGGTACAACTTCAGACGTTAAATTCAGAAAAAAAGACGACTAGTTTAACATAAATGAAGAAATAATTCTGATTTGTATGTAGACTGTTTTTGTTCTTTTAAAGATTTGGGTGTGCACGTCTGAACAGTGGTAGCAAGCAAACCCGTTGAGGTTTATAGCTCGGCATATTGTAAACATACTTGTTGTTGTTTCTCGTACCGATATTTTGAGTTAAGCAAATAAAAATAAAAAAGCAAATAAAATTAAAAAAAAAGAAGATATTACGGTTGCATGGACTAGTTACGTTAAGCTGCATATTTAGGAATTATGAGCCTTTAACAGTCTGTTTAAAGTCTTATTACAAGTTATTAATTATGATAATATATCTAAACCACTGAGATAATTCAGAGGTACAAAAAGGAACAATTATCTTATCAAATTTCATTTTTCTGAGGAAAAAAACCTGTGTGATACACAATGAATAAAGAACGTCAATAGAGTAAGGTACAACTTAAGACGTTAAATTCAGAAAAAAGACGACTAGTTTAACATAAATGAAGAAATAATTCTTATTTGTATGTAGACTGTTTTTGTTCTTTTAAAGATTTGGGTGTGCACGTCTGAACTGTGGTAGCAAGCAAACCCGTTGAGGTTTATAGCTCGGCATATTGTAAACATACTTGTTGTTGTTTCTCGTACCGATATTTTGAGTTAAGCAAATTGCAACTAATTTTACAGTTTGTTCTTATGTTGTGCTTTTACATCACTGTCCTATGTTTGGAAAGGGTTGAGAGCTCACAAAAATGTTTAACCCCGCCTCGTTCTTTATGTGCCTATCCCAAGTCAGGAGCCTGTAGTTCAGTGGTTGTCGTTGGTCCATGTCTGTCATATTTGTTTTTCTTATATTGTTTTGTTATAAATTAGCTCTTTAGTTTTCTTGTTTCCCATGTGTCATGTTTTTCATGTCGAAGCCTTTTATATCCGACTTTCCGATATGATTTTTTTTCTCATTGTTGAAGGCCGTACGGTTGCCTATTGTTGCTTAATTCCACTTCATTTGAACTCTGGTGGATAGTTCGTTGTCTCATTGGCAATCATACCACATCTCCTTATTTTTATATTGTTTCCTCGTTGAAGACTTTAGTTGACCTCTTAAAATGGTTTCTCAGTTTTTGTCTTTGTTGGATAGCTATCTCATCGACAAACTCCATCATCTACTTTTTAAAATTTGATCACGTTATAAACGAACACAGCAAGTGAACTAAAACAAATAGCCCAAAGAAGCTATTACCGGGCAAATGACGTCTATCCTTATAACTGACCAGTGTTTCTTCAAGTTATAAAAACCTTATGGTGCATTAAAAAGACAAGAACAAATCTTTGTGAACATGACGCAAGAACTTGTTCAACAGGGATATGAGTAAGAACGACTGAAATCGACACTTTATAAAAATCACACAACAGGTTGACCGATACAATGTGTTTGTGTCTCACTAGCGACATGTTTCCGCGGTCTTAGATCTTAAGGTGCAAGTTGGTTGTCTGATTGAAAATTTACTGATTGCGTCCTATTCCCTATTGTAATATTTTATTAAGTGTGGTTTCGCATAGCGGGGGATGTATGCATTGCAGTAGACGCTTACCCTGTCTATGCACCATTTCTCGCTCTTTTTGAAGTTAATGTGATTCCCCCAGGTGTTGTTTTAACGCTCGTAGTTAATCATGAAGAAACTGCTAATATATTTTAGAAATATTGTAAAACATGCGTTCTCTATCTTGGAAAGGAAGTGATTGGAAAATATTTTTGATTTCTGTCATCTACACCTATATTGTAAAGGAGGGACAAAACTAGTCAATATGACCTTTCGTGAGATGAATCTCAATTTTGCAAGGTTATTCCATGGACTACTTGTAATGCTTCTTTCAAAGCTCTAGTTTAACCTTCATCAGGAACGTACTGATATTAATTAAAAGTTGAATGCCCAATGGAACTTTAAAATAAAAATATTCCAAAACTGTCTTAGAAAAACTTGAGATGCTACTTTATTTAATTGTTGGGGTCAAAATCATGGAATTTATCAGCATATAATTCAAAATGTGTTCATGATAAGTCATGCACTCAAGCGACTTAAAACTTGGAACATATCAATAACGACCATTCAGTTGCCGCCTTTTTCATAGGTACTATTTCACGGCCCTAAATTTGCCACAGTATGTATGAATATTGTTTTTGAAGTTGAAGTTTAGTACATGTGTATTCTGTATTTTAACTGGGTTATCTTTCTTGGTATCAACCTCTAACATAAGTACTTTATTAAGTACTGCTATCTCAATTATGCATAGTACTGTAGCTGTTCAACTCAGTACCCATTTATATAATAAGATAACCCATTTTATATATATAGAACTGATTTTTGGTAGCCATACATTTCGGAACATCATAATGAAAATAATAATCATCCTGTGTTGTTTGGTTTTTGTTCAATCACAGGTACCAACGCCTTGTGGTAAGTTTGATATGTCATATAGTAAATCTTAATTTTATCAAGATTTCAAGTTTCAATTTTTTTAGCATACTTTGCGTTTTCTTTCTGAATAGAAAGATACTTTCAAATCATTATCTTTTTTGCTTTTCTGTCTTTTCATGTTATTTTGAGTGTATAAAAACGTGTTATGAACAACAAATAGACTAATCCCTTTTGGGATTCTGAGTCCGGAGATGTTTTCAGAACTTGCACCCCATCTAAACATGTTACGTTTTTTTTTATCTTATGATTATTTTGTAGTGCTTGAAGAAAATCCAGTTTCTTTTAATCTATAGCTTTAGTCTGCAACGTTCATTTCACACTTTCTTTTTATATGTTCCCTCCTTTATCCATCTTAGTTAAAAAGTGTACAAGACAGGACTGTTTACTTTCAGAGTCTCCGAAACAATGGGAAGGTAACATTCTAAGGGTAAGTGAAATCCATAGTCATAAGAAACAAACACAAACGTTAATGTATAGGCAGTTAATATGAAGGGCAATAACTTCAAAGAATTATTATATTTTTGATAATTAGTATACGGTGATAAGTTGGCTCATGCGTTGAGATGCCAAGTAATCTTATATACAATCACATTTTAAAAAAAAAGAACAGAATCAATAGGCAGACTCTCCAGTAACTAGACATATCTATACGGCAATTAAACTTAGGAAGTCAGTTCTGCATTTTCTACATTTTATTTGCTCATTTACCAGCTTTGAAAATAAAACCGCAATATGTCATATCAAAATAAGGAGATGTGATATGCTCGCCAATGGAAATAGGTACAAATATTCATCTGGACGTAAGCAATTTAAGGTCACCCCATGACCATCGACAATGAGCAAAACCCATAATGTTCAGTAAGCCATGAAAGGCCCCGACATGACAAATGTGAAACACTTCAAACGAGAAAACCAACGACATGTTCTATGTATAGTTCTGTGTTAAGGTAGTGTCTTGTAGGTTGATAGGAGTAAGGCTCCACTGCATTTACTGGATCAAAGAATAAAAGTGAGCTACGACGAAGTGAACCATAGGATCAGAGAAATAGATGAATTTTCCTTCACGTCAGACAACCCAATGTATGAAGTGTTATATCTTCATAAACTTGTAAGTTACGTTAATATATATGTCAATTAATTTGTAGAATATTAGTGAATCATCAAATATTGGCATGGGGCAGTTTTCATTGTACTTTTGATATGACCTTTATTATTTTCGCAACTCTAGCATTTGGTATTTAGCGGTTCCTCCACTTAAAATTTCGTGAACACGTTTTCAATGTTTAAAGGGAATTGAGATGGGTTCACAGAATAGAGAATACTAGGAGAAATAAAGAATACAGAAAAATGGGCCGAAAAATAAAGAAAAAAGAATAATTTGGTGCTAAAAATAAAAGAATAGAGAATGAAAGGGAAAATAGAATAGACGTCAAAAATATTAAAAAATACAGAAATGAAAACATCTATCCATCCCTCTGTAAATTTATAATTTCAGAACAAGAAATATATAGTAAACTTAAAGACAAGACAATGTAATGTAACGACTGTTACCATGCCGTTTAGACCACTTGGTGTACCAACAGGAGCTACTTTCAGGGGATACACGACCTTAGGAGCTTCTGGTTTGCAAGGACAGTTTCTTAACGTGGCCAGCTGGAATTTCACTGAAGGACCGAACAGATACTATGGAACTGTTTCTACTCCTGACTGTTTCCCGGTTGAATACATTTATTACAGCCCACCAGTTGGTTTCGTAACATCGACGTAAGTGTTTTTGCCAGGAATATTATTCTGGAAATAAAATTTAGTTGATTGGTCGGTCTTACGTGGTTATTGCAGTTGAAGACCCTATTCTTCATCACTCCCTATATATTTATTGATCTTTGGTTGCCCGTACGTTTGTTTTCAAGCAATCGTTATATATACGTAAACGGAGGCATGTGAATTGTGTGACGCTTTTCTTTAAATTTCGGTATGAAATATCAATTAGATTATCATATATTTTGTAAAAATAATTCATGAATGTCTTCCATACCCCTTTTTTGTGTATTCATTATTTCCTTTTTCTGTTCAAAAGAAGAGGCGAAAGTTATCGAATGGACATTCAAACTCATAAGTCGAAAATAAGCTGACAACGCCATGACAAAAAAAAAGAAAAGGACCAAAAGACAAACAACAGTATACAAAACACAACATAGAAAGCAAAAAACTAAGCAAGATGAATCCCACCAAAAACCGGTGTTGAACTCATGTGCTCTGGAAGGGTAAGCAGATTCTGTTCCACTTGTGGCACCCGTCGTGTTGCTCATGTAAGAACAAATCCGGTTATACATTTAATTCGGTAGGCAAGAAATAGATCTACCTATTACTGCCTTTAACCCTTAAGGGTATAAATGTGCATTTCAATATTAAAGTTGATCTGTTAATTAAATGCTGCATTGTACCTATCATGTATCTGCCCTTAGTATTTTGGTTAACTTCCTTTACATTTCATGGTTCAATTTGGATAAAATCTAAGCATCTCATTTGATGCATTCATAGTTGATGGCAATCCAGCGAATGTTAAAACAACAAACAGCAATCACTGTTACGGTTGTTAAACTGGTTTAATCTAGTTTATATAAAAGATTTTTCATGGTTTGTTGTCACGTGCACATCTTTCTTGTAATTTCAAACGAATAACAATTACCTATCATAGGTAGCGTATAATTATTAAATCAACTTTAAATCTCAAGATGAAATTACATTACTTAACGTTGAAAACCGAAGCAAAAACATAAAAAAAAAAATACAAATGTGCAACCTGAACCAATACGTCTTTACAGAAAATCAAAGTTAAGAAAAAGGAAAAAACAACCCAACTCACACACCCAAGTTTTATTCGTATTTTAATTGTTTTAACAGGTACTTCGATCTGTCACTAGGCATCAGAGATGAAAACGTCTTCGTTCCTCCAAGTGAATGTCCAAAGGAGTAAGAACAATCGTGGCCGAATAATCAATTTCAAATAAAAAGGAAAAAAGAACTTTTAATCAAATGTAATAAAATGCAAGATTTGTTTTTTTTCTATTTTTCTACTTTTTTGTTGACCTCATATGCTAGAAGTTTAAAAATATTAGTTTCCAATCAAATTACAAAGAAGGTGCAGAAGCATTTTAAAACAATAGACAAGAGTATAATAAAAAGATACAAAATGCATGTCAAGTCACAATGGAAGGAAGGAGGTAAAGGGTAGAAAGCAGATGAAAAATATGGAGAGAAAAGCACAAAACATGCAGGGGTTATGAAGCTTGGACTAGAACAACCAAGTTTAAAACTATCTAATTGATGGTAAAGAAGACCAGAAATAGTACAATTGACAGATTATCTGGGTTTTTTTGGTGAATAGATAATTATACATATAATATGGCCTTGACCTTTCCAATATAACAAACGTATTAACCCTATACACTAATATAATTCTGAGAGTTTACTGTTTGACATATTTTTATTTCGTTTATTGTTTTAGCGCAAATCAGTCCGTTGGTCTTCTCGTTTGAATGGGATTCATTTTGTCATTCCGGCAACTTTTATAGCTTACTATACGGTACGGGAATTGCTCATTGTTGAATACCGAATGTCGACCTACAGTTGTTTCCATCCAAGTACTTTGGTCTCTGGCAGGTAGTTGCCTAATTGGTAATCATTCCATGTCTCCTTATTTTATATTAAGGTTAGCATAACGTTTTTATTCTATGGATACATTTTAGAAAAAATGCAGAGAAAGCAACAAGAACGCACAAACATTTGAGTTGAAGTAAAACTGATAACATAATGATGATAAGAAAACCAACGTACAACAGTCCACACAACACTAAACAGAATATCGCAGATATAACAAAATAATCTTCACAAAAAAACGGGGATGAACTCAGGAAAAGAAACTAGCAATAGGCCTCTGGACAATTTTGGGCGGGCAGAGCTAACAAAATTATACCCCAATACCTTGCAAAAGTCACGATTGGCTACAGGGAACTCCCAAAATAATTCTGATGAAATAAGAAAATAAGAAGTCATATTAAAACGTTTAAACCCGCTGCATTTGTTTGCACCTGTCCTAAGTCAGGAACCTGATGTTCAGTGGTTGTCGTTTGTTGATGAAAACATAAGTGTTTCTCGTTTCTAGTTTTTTCCGTTGGTTTTCCTGTTTAAATGGTTTTACACTAGTCATTTTTTGGGGCCCAAAAAAATAATATCGGTAGGTCCAAAATAAAGCAATGGCAAGGTCCATGCTTTACTAAGGGAAACCCCAAGAATAATTCGGGCCCCATCCTCCCTCAGAAAAAAAATCCCATTTAGAAAGTGTACAATAGCATTATATGGTTGATATTTCATTTAATTTTGATAAGGGGATTAGGAGGAGAACCGGACAGAAATATTTACTATAATGTGCAGAAATGATGTCATCCAAAAGTAAAACCCAAAATTTATTCAGATAATAAAATGAAATAATAGGTTCAAAAGTAAATAATGTCAGTAATATTTAGTAAAATTTTCACAAATTTTCGCCCAGAGCTGATGCGGATACAAAAAACGGGACATAATAACGAACGGACGAAAAAACATACGGACGGACTCCTCCATCACTATAAAAGGCGGGGTATGATTAATGTACCATGTACGAAAATGATGACACATTGAAAATTGATCGTCACTACACCACAAAATAGAAATCCGAGAAAACCTTGCGCTTGCGCCAATACCATTCATCGACGTCATAAACGTCTCTCCTGACAACGTTAGATCGTCGAAGCATCGCCGATACATTGCACAAGGATAAGTTTTTGGAAGTCTAAAAAAATTGATCCCGTGCAGCTTTTCTGAAGAAAGTAGGAATCGAAAGAGAAGGTGGTAAGTTATTTTAAAGCATTTTTCTCAAGTACTTTGCTTTTTGTTCTGTTTACCATTTTAAACTTACTGAGATAACAAAAAAGAATACGACATTTAAGGTAAATTTGATTCTGAGGCCTTCAGCGTCTACAAGTTTATGTGAGTTTTGTAATTAATTGTCTTGAACTAAGTTCTTTGTGTTAATTAGAAGTCGTTGTATGATTTCCTATCAAGACAATTCAGTGTATCTTAAACTTGCTAATAATCCTCTAGACTTCCATAGATTTTGTGATAAATTTTGTTTGCCTAAACAGCTAATATTAATATTTTTATTTTGGCCGAAGTACTTTTGACCTTAAAATCTGAGATTACTATAACGCAGTAGTCTCAGATAAAATGCACGCAGGGCAAATTCAAACTTCTCTTTGTCTTGTCGTTCTGGCTTAGAAATCAGCAAATTAGATCTTCAGTCTAGGATACTGTAGAGTCAAGAAGTGTTTTTGAAAATAATAGATATGTATCAGTTTTCAAATTCTGACTACAACTATCGTGCTTCCGGGGTTTGAATGTCTTTTGAAAAGTTAAAATGAGCAAACTTAGATTGAGGACGGATACTTTTGATTACTTAGAATAATTGCGTTGGTCAATGAATGTTTAAGTATTAACTTAAACATGACAGCAGGGCTTGTAAATTTTGTGTTCTGTCCATTTATACAATACAATAAGTAGTCCAAGTATAATATATAGTTGCTCAAGCAGATTCATAATTTTAAAGGTGGATATCGGGGAGGGGTTACAACGGACTTCATAATGCATTTTTAATTTTCATCTGACTCAACAATCAACAGGATAAGTATGGAGTGGATAGCGCAAGAAGATGAAAAAGAAAATCAGGCAGTGGCTGGATTATGTGAAGCGATCCTAAGTGTTGCCGTGTTTGAGTTTACATTTGAACAGTGGGAAGTGGTAGAAGAAGACATACGTGCAGCCGAGGACAGGGAAACCGCCTTGATAAAGGAATTAGGTATGTCCGTCAAATAATTTCCCTCCCCTGTTCTAGCTTACACTTCTGAATATAAAACAAAATCAAGCCTGTCTCTTATGATCCTTTTGTACATTTTTGACCACTACTAGTATTTCCCTTAATCTATGGATAAATGATAACCTTATGTTTTGTAAAATATATCTTTAGAGATGATATTGGGTATATTAATAAATGTTTTGTAGATAGTTTCGTATTTAGTCAAAATTGAGTAAAATGTACAATGTGTATAAATGGATTATTTCTCAGATAAAAAATTGTCATTTTGATTCACTGTTTCTAAGTCTATATCTTTTCTTTGTTCTTGTATGCTTCATTTGAATCTTTATGTCTCTCAAATCAAAGTTCATTATTGTGGTTATCATTTCTTTTCCAGTTCTGCTTGGTGGGTGGGGTATGGTCTTCATCACTCTGGGGGGTATGGTCTTCATCACTCTGGGGTATGGTCTTCATCACTCTGGGGTATGGTCTTCATCACTCTGGGGGTATGGTCTTCATCACTCTGGGGGTATGGTCTTCATCACACTGGAGTATGGTCTTCATCACTCTGGGGGTATGGTCTTCATCACTCTGGGGGTATGGTCTTCATCACTCTTGGGTATGGTCTTCATCACTCTGGGGGTATGGTCTTCATCACTCTGGGGTATGGTCTTCATCACTCTGGGGAATGGTCTTCATCACTCTGGGGGTATGGTCTTCATCACTCTGGGGTATGGTCTTCATCACTCTGGGGTATGGTCTTCATCCCTCTGAGGGTATGCTCACCTTAGTGTAATATTACATGAAGGCGTCGTGTATAGCAGGAATGAGACAGCAATCAAATGACACAAAACGTACGACCATCATATGTCGATAAACAGCCTAAATCAGTAGACACACGTCCTTAACAATATGTCAAGGTAAAAATAACCTCGAGTCTATACAAGTTGTAAATAAATTCACCAGATACTTTCTTTTTATTTGAGTTGTTAGGATGTTGTCTCATTGCCATACACCCGATATCGTCTTCATTACAAGCAACACTTAATTCCCCAATGTTCAAGAGCATTAAGATAGATATGTGTTTCTCCATTTAGACAAATTAAAAGAACAGAACACAACTGAAAAACAAACTATTAAAGGAGAAGAGAATGAGTTGAAAGTTCAAGACGACACTCAAAGTGTAGCTAATGAGTTGAGAGACTTGGAGGAGGAAATGGACGCAGCAGAACAAGATGCATCTATGAGAGCAGCAGGTAATGACGTAGTTTCTTGAATTCCTTTGCCATTTGTTTTTTTTTTACGAGTTTTAATTCTGGACTTCTTTTCATTTTTTGATTTATATAAGTAAAATAATACTTTCTAAACAATTACAACTAGATATTTCCTTGTTTTATGCTATTTACTCCGAACTGAACAATGTCATATTGTCTGATCGTTTATTTAACAACAGAGAATATTATAAATTGTAAATCCGAAATCGGTATTGTAGTTGGAGATTAAGAATTATCATCATCATAATTTGCAGGATCTGTATATCTTATGTTATCTCATCATTATTTTCAATGATAATGACAACTTTGATCACAGTATATGTATTAATGTGATTCTTAATAAGACAGGTGAGGGGATTTCATTTTTTTTAATTTTTTTATTTTCTAGGACAAACAGAAAAAACGCCGAAGAATGCCGGATATGTTTTTAAGGTACAGTAGAATATTGGTAAATAAGAACGGGGGGGGGGGGGGGATGTTGATGACAGTTACTTACAATCACGTGATATACTGAGAAATAATAATAGACCAGTGGACACAATTCTTGTTTTGCTTTTCTTCATGTGCACAACAAGTTAAAGGCAACATGCCCCTTACATCTACCAAAGGCTATTCTAATTATATCCATCAAGTTTTGTCTTGGATATGCACGAAATATGTACCACTGGACTTTAAGGAAACAACAATCAATCAATCAATCAATCTAAGTTTTTCGTTTGATTAAGGTTAGTTTTCCCCTATTCGATCCACAAGGAAGTTAATTCATTACATAATCAACCGGTAAAGCCTTGTTACATTTTGTCCGTCAATTGCACATTATCAAAATACCAAGCGTTTAGGCAATTAAATGCTACTATTTGATGACAGATTTTACAATGGTTGATTGATTGCTAGTTTTATTTGATAATGTCCAGCAGCAAATATTTCATAACTGGAATTAAAGCAGCAACGTCACAATAAAAAGAAAAATAATACAACTTTAAAAATTTGTAGCTAGAATATATGGTATGTATTTGTTTACCCTAAGCAAAAAAATATAAACTTCTAATATAAAGTGCTAAAGAAGCATGCCATTAACAAATATATTCAATGGAACCTGTTATAGCTAGCGTCCTGAAGTAGCACATTTTGAACCTACTTTCCGAATTATGTACCGTCAATTTTCCTTAATAGTGGTCAGCCTGTCGGTGGTTGTACTGTGAAGGTTTTTAATTGTGTGTTTAACTTTTTCGACTTATGGTCTAGGTAAGCAAATTGGGTGGTTTGTGCACACGTCAAACAGGTTTAACCCCACCACATGTTAAACTATCTGGACTATGTGTTGTTTGTTCTTCTTCGGAGTAAGGAGGAGATGATGGTTGGTGTGGTGTTATGTTTTATAGATATTTTTCCCAAAGGACAGTGGGAAAGTATAACATGTTGAACTACATAAACGATGTGTATTTTTATAGGATACAGTGCAGAATTCTGAACTGAATGGAGCTATTAGCAAACAAACGAAAAAGGACAAAAAGAGGGAAAAAAGAAAAATGAAGAAAGAGGAGAAAATTCGAGAGAAAATAGCTAAAGAGGAGGAAAAGATTGTTCAGTTGTACTTTAAGTTGGTAGATAAGATTATGATAAGGTACACAAAAGATGTCAAATTACTACATAAAAAGGAAGTTAAGAGGAGAAAACAGATGGAGAAGACGGAGAGAAAAGCTCAAAAGATGTTGGAGAAAGGTATTCATTTTATTCTCCTTAAACGATTCCATATGGACGTCTTTTACAGCACGAGCAATAGTTTTTAATTTCAACCAACACATGCCGATGATGTATAAAACATCGTACAAACTCGAAATTTATGAATTTTTAATTTAACCAACATTTTTAACATGTTAAAATATGAAATTTATTCTTTAACATGTTGTATTTTTTTTTATTTATTACACACTAATAAATCTTTAAAAAGAACAAATAAAACACATTAATTGTTAAAAGTCCAATCGCTTGTCGAGTTGCTACTGACGCTTTTCGTGCAATATATATATTTTTTCTTTAAATTACAGTTAATTTAAATTTATTAAACATGAATAAAACAACGGGATTAAAAAAGCTGATACCAAGTTAATACTGAAATATATGTTGAATGCAATAAAAAAAAAAGATTTGTTGTCCTTTGGTCTTAAATCAAAAGTGTCTCGTTGAGCATTATAACATTTCTGCTTATTTTTATATTATGATTTAAAAATCATGAACTTATTTGTTTTAACACTTGCGTTTATAGAAATGAAGAAGATGGAGAAAGGAAGTGTCAAAAATGAAAAGAAGAAAAAGGCCCAAACTATGGGTTTAAAGGAAAAACACAATGATAAAAAGAAAAGCAAACCAAAAAGAGAGACAGGGAATAACAAGGGTCATGAGAAGAAAGAGGCCAAAACTATAGATGTTATAGAGGCTAAACAAAATGGTATGAAGAAAAGCAAAACAAAGAAAGAGACAGAGAAAAACAAAGATGGAAAGAAGAAAGAGTCTATGAAAATTAAGAACGAAAACATTGATAAAATGGATACCACCAATGACGGAAAGAAAAACACAATTTCAGCAAACATTCGTGCATTTTTTCGAATCTTTTCTTGTATCAAACGACAGGAAAAAGACAAAGCTGTAGTTTAAAAAAAAAAATTTGTATTATATTAAATTTTTTATATTTTTTATCACTGTTTTTATATTCTATTTTCTAAATGAGAAGTAAAAATGGAATTAGGTATATAGGGACAACACGAATGAACCTGCCTCACGCAAGATGTACGTCGTTCAGAACCGGAAATACAAGTTCGATCTCTTAGTCTCATTTAAAAACAAATGAAATCCTGTGAAAAGTAGGTCATCCGAAACGCGAACTCGACTTATACCTCCCCATCATACACATACCAAAAAATTATAGAAATAAGAAGATGTGTCATGTTTGCTAATAAAACAAATATTCACAAGTGATCAAATGACGTTGTTCAACTTGATGTACACAACTATAGGGCACGGTACGGCCTTCAACAATGATCAAAACCCACACAGTATAGAAACCAAAAGGCCTGATGTATGCTAAATTAACAGACACAATACTAATATGACAGACAACAACTAAAGACCACCAATTGATTACATGCTCCTGACTTTGGACAAGCAAATACAGAATGTGACGGGATGTGCACATACAAGCGCAGCAGTATTGTGCCGTCAACGGTTTATGACGTCGCGGTTTCCGCGAACTGGAAACGTCTATGAGAGTTCTGTTTGATCCGATGAAGGAGCAAGACAATTGTTCAGCAAGGTCGACTTGCTGAGAAGAAAATGAAAGTGTCCTAAGATTATTAACATGTTCCTATATTAAAAAAAATGTTTTGTTGGTTTTCGTTTTCGAGGAACAACATAACAGAACAATTTAGGAAACATAAAAAATATACATATAAAAAAGAAGTATACAAAGAAACAATAGAAAGAAAAAGGAAGGAATTTACATAAATGCAAACAAACAAATACCCCACAGAAGGTGGTCAGTTATGTTCTATAATGACGGAATAGGCCTACCTTTTTTATACGAATAAGAGGTGACGAGGGTATACGTCAACTTAACAGCAATCCAAAAAACAAAACCAAAAACTCAAGAAACAAAACCGAAACGGAAAATTTGTCATCAAGATGGGTCACCCAAATTATGATTTAATGATACTTCCCTTTCTATTCGTACGTGTCAATCGTTATAATATGCAAGCATGCGTTAAACAACGTATGCATATTGCTCAACTAGACCCCATCTTGTAGTTCAGCAAAAAAAACAAAGTCTAAGAGATCTTGATCTCCTTTCACTATTCATAAAATTTGTACATTTACATCGCTATTCAGATAATTATTAAGAAACAAATGTTCGTTGTTTAAAAAGGAATTTCTTCTCAAATAATAAACATTCTTATTAACTAAATCGAAATTTTCATTCTAGATATTCGTACAACGCATTGTTTTCTACTTATCACTTTTAAATTACTTGTCTACACCAAAAAAAAAAACTTAACTACCATCATGTGGATATCCTAATGTACATTTAGTGTAATTGAAAACAAACAAAACAGCAAATAGATAGGAATTGAATTGTCCATAACCTGTGAAAACATCGCCAATTCGCCTTCACTTTTTTCGGCGTTGCTGTCAGCATTGGCGCAATGTATTATCGCAAATTCAAATGAATGTTTAACGTATATTGAACAGATATATCATGTTATGGAGGGGTATTTGCGAAAAATACCAGTCAAGGGACTGTGAAATTTCCCAAGCCGCTAGGCAAATTCGTTTGAAATGAGGAAAAATGTTAGAATTAGCGAAAAATACACTGGCTAACAACCAATCAAAATCCGGCATTCTTATATAAGGTGCAATTATTAAAGATATATCTTTTTCCAGTACGGTTACCCTACGCTTTTATTTCCTTAATTTGTTTAATAACTAACCATGCATATTCTGTTGAATTTTCATCAAGAACACATCGGTCAATTTTTATCAAACTTGATTTTTTTGTAGATATTTCTCCATAAAAAAGGCGGGAAAATTATTATAGCAACTTATCGTTATCATTTGTCCATCAGAAGATGATAAATATCACAGTTTTACAGTTCGTGATGGAATGGATCAAGTTGCTCAAGAAAGTTTAAAAATAATCATCATCAAGTTGCATTAATTTCCCTTCTCAAGGTTTCATAGTACATACTTTTGTGTGTACAAAGTAATTGTATGGGTGATAAATTACCAAAATTATGAGATAGCGTTGTCCTCTAGTCAAAATATTAATGATCATATTTGTTATTCTTTATTCCAATGATAAAAACTTGCAATTGTCAAAACTGTTTTTCTTAAAACCAAAGATTTTGATAACAGGATATATAAAAATCAATGTGAACTAATTACAAACATTTTTTTTTTAATTTGGGACACAGCATATTGATATATTTTATTTAACTTTTTATTAGCTCACAAATGAGATTGTAGCTAACCTTTGAGTTAGATTTAGAGTTAACGTTCGAGTTCTAGTTAAAATTTGAGTTAAAGTTCGAGTTTTACTTTGAGTTCGAATTTAAGTTGGAGTAAGAGTTCGAGTTAAACTTCCGAGTTATACTTTGAGTTAGAGTAAAAATTCGGGTAAGAGTTAAAATTTTGAGATCTGAATAAGATTGTAGTTTCCTATTTCTGCTCGTGCATCCGCTTTCTTTAAATGTATATTCTTTCGTCACATGTATTTTTCAGTATGGTATATATTTTTTGGCTAATAATGATCAATGATAGGTATACGTTTAGAAGTAATTTGAAAAGATTGGTTGATTATGTGTGTTGTATGCCACTTTTAGCTCTCTGTCCTATATCATGGTGGACACTTTTTTCGGTGAAGGAACAGAGGTATCCTGAGAAAATCAGCTATCTTTTTACTTGAAAACTAGTTATCCTTGTCAGTTAAGATCGGAATCCGACGATCTCCCCATTTCACTGTTGACAGGCAAGTGATTACAGTGGGTGATCTGAACTAGTACCTACAATACATCTGAACTATTTATTTTGTTTTTTTTCGTTGTTTTCTTCAAACCATCGATTAATAGGTTTTTGCTAAACTTTCAGTGATATATAAAAATCAATGTGAAAACTAATTACAAACATTTTTTTTTTAATTTGGGACACAGCATATTGATATATTTTATTTAACTTTTTATTAGCTCACAAATGAGATTGTAGCTAACCTTTGAGTTAGATTTAGAGTTAACGTTCGAGTTCTAGTTAAAATTTGAGTTAAAGTTCGAGTTTTACTTTGAGTTCGAATTTTAGTTGGAGTAAGAGTTCGAGTTAAACTTCCGAGTTATACTTTGAGTTAGAGTAAAAATTCGGGTAAGAGTTAAAATTTTGAGATCTGAATAAGATTGTAGTTTCCTATTTCTGCTCGTGCATCCGCTTTCTTTAAATGTATATTCTTTCGTCACGTGTATTTTTCAGTATGGTATATATTTTTTGGCTAATAATGATCAATGATAGGTATACGTTTAGAAGTAATTTGAAAAGATTGGTTGATTATGTGTGTTGTATGCCACTTTTAGCTCTCTGTCCTATATCATGGTGGACACTTTTTTCGGTGAAGGAACAGAGGTATCCTGAGAAAATCAGCTATCTTTTTACTTGAAAACTAGTTATCCTTGTCAGTTAAGATCGGAATCCGACGATCTCCCCATTTCACTGTTGACAGGCAAGTGATTACAGTGGGTGATCTGAACTAGTACCTACAATACATCTGAACTATTTATTTTGTTTTTTTTCGTTGTTTTCTTCAAACCATCGATTAATAGGTTTTTGCTAAACTTTCAGTGGCAAACATTACATAAATATCAGCACGAAAATATGTTTCTATGATTTGAATACTCTTTCACAAGACGGACTTTTAATGTGATGGACACAGTCTAGCAGTACTCCGTGAGACATCTTATTCTACATAAATATATGTGTGTGTTTAATATTCGTCTTGTCGGAGATTTATAAAGCTAAAACTGGTATTTTCTCGTTGTTGAAGGCCTTACGGTCCACTGTAGTAGTTTAGATCCACGATATTTGGTCTCTGGTGGATAGTTGTCAATTATGTCACATTTTCTAATATTTATAAAGATATGTACCATGTTTTTTGAGGTGCAGGTAAATGTTCATCCCTAGGAGCAAAATAGCACGAAGAACTAGGCATATTGTTTGATATTCCGAGATTGTTGTGACTTCTTGTGGCCTTTTTAAGAACACGCTGGTCCCACAGTCCACTTATTGACAGTTTGAATGAATACTATAAAATATAAATAAAAATGTGTTTTTTTTCTGTGTCGAATTACATTTTCTTTTATTTCGACAGCATGCAACCGATGTAAAAGTGCATTTGCTTTTTCTATAGTGATTTTTATCGGGTGTTATTCTTGAATACCAATTGTTATTCCATTGACAGGAATGAAGGGTTTTATATTTCAACAAATAGTATTACCATGCGAATTAGTCGTGTGCATGACAAAAAAAAAGAGAGAGAGAGAGAGAGGCGAAAGATACCATAGGGACATTTACACAAATAAGTCGAAGAAAAACTGACAAAGCCATAAAAAACAGCAAAACAACAATAAAGCCTTACATTAAAACTACAAACTGGGCAACAAACGAACCCACCAAACACCTGGTTGACCTCAGGTGGAATCGGATCCAGATTATACTTTCAAATAGTACTAAAAAAAGTGCAATTACTCTTCGGTATTCGGATCACTCCGCGGATATCGGATCGGAACACCCTGTATGCAAATAGTCACACTAGTTAAATGATTCAGACCATAGAACTGTCCTTGTTGGTAGTGCAAAATATATTGGTTGGTTGTTGTTTATGAAAAATATTTGATACATATTCAGGATAAGACCAAATTTAACAAAAAAGTAGTTGGTCGGAAAATTTGGGCTGTCGCTAGAAAAAGGGGGTATGGTGGATAGGGACAGAAATTTCGTGCGTTGAAGTGACCCTTAGACCAACACAAGGCATTACAATACCTGTCTATTTCTAAGGTAGATATACCTCTAGATGTCTTTTATCAAATTAATCTATTGGTCGAGTTTATCTCTCATCGACGTTAAGG